CTTCCTCCTTGTTTTCAGAAGTTTCACACCTCCACACCCAGGAGCCCCTCTGCTGTCTTGTGCGTAGCCCGGGGCACGCCGGAGGAACTCACAACACTGACTGGGAGTGAGCGGCGATAAGCCCAGCTGCACTGGTTTCAAACAGCCGACGCCACCAGGTGCTTAATTTGCAGCAAACAGAGATAAATGCATGGAAAAGTGAGTCTGAAGCTGCGTTTCCACAGAGTGCCTGGAACCTGTGTGTTCATTTGAAGGAAGTAAACGGTTCTTAACCCACACGGACTAAAGTGGACCATTAGTTAGTGCAGTGTTTCCCAAACTTTTGTTTTTTTTCTGGGGTTAAAGTCACAAACATTCGCGACCCAAGTCATTAGACATTATTCGTAAAACTCCTGGGAAACATGATGCGAGACGACCCCCCCCAAAAAAAAAAAAAATCTCTTGCGACCCACCTGAGGGAGGTTAACAACCAGAGGCAGGTAACAACATACGGGGTTGAACCAGAACCAGAGAAGGGCGAGAAAAGTTCCCTCCAATCCCAGCTGCAGCCTCCAGGTGGATGTCATCTGCATACATGGTTATTTGGCCTTAGAGTGGCTGAGACGTAAATACTGACGTAGTATTTTCTACTAGTACATGCCAGGGAAACCAACTTAATTTTTTTTTTTTAAGTTGTAAAGAGTAAAAGTCTTCGTCTCATGTTCGTGACTTGATCCCAGTTTCCTTTAAATCACAGGAACAAAAGGCTCATTTTAATGTTTGCATTTCTTGCACATACTCGCTGCGATCCTTATCTGAGAAAATTTTTTTTTAAAGATTTAATTGCAGTGTGGAATTTCTTTAAACACTCATCTATAGAAATGCCACCGCAAAGGAGAAAAGACAAACCACTCCTCCCGCTGGGCGCAGGAAAAACAAACTTTTGACAAACCACTCCTCCCGCTGGGCGCAGAAAAAAAACAAACAAAAAGGTAATTTTGGAACCAGTAGCAACAAGCAACAAGAGGGAGGACGTGTGAGAGTCGACTCTGATAAACCGTAATCCCCTCAGTTTTGCTGCAGCGACGAGGAGCTTTGATCTAAAAGCATTTCTCTGGAGTGACACACCTTCTCCAGGATCGCGACCTCTTCCACAGGCCGAGGGTTAAAAACAAGAGGCAGTGACACCTGGACCGGTTTATTATGACACCGCTCCGTCACGCTGTCTGACTCCTGTTGATCCACACGTGTTATCACTCCCACATCGTGGTAAGTGATACGTGTTCGCGGCGATGCAGCGGCCGTCACCTCTGCTGCGTATATGAGGGCGGCACGGAGAGAGCAGAGAGAAGAAGAAGAGGAGGAGGAGGAGAAGAAGACCGGAGGAAGTGAAGGGCAGATCTGCCGTGCGAGGGGCATGTGTGAGAACCGGCCGCGCGGTGTCCGGGAATGTCTGGAACGCCTCCAAAAGTGTCCCGCAGAGAGGGAATCCTGCTTGATGTGACTGTGAATAGAAAGTCTCCTCCGAGCCGCTGAACCCACACAGGCTCTTTGATGTCAGGGGGGGTCACGCAGAACCCATGCAGCTCCAAAGGGAGGGGGAGGGGGCGGTCAGGGGGGACATATTTACCTTGAACGCCTGGCAACCTCGCCCTGCCCTCCCAGACCTGCGGTCGTCTCCGCACAGAGGAGAAGCAGAGTTTAAAGCTAAAGGGGAGGAAACTGAGACGCACGGAACCCAGTGAAGGCCAAATGACAAGTTCTCTGCTCTTATTTATCACTAACAGGCTAAGTGCATTCCAACCGCCAAGAGCAAGGCCACGCCGACTCCCATACACAAACCCTGAGTACGGCCGGAGGATCGGGAACTTTGAGCAGACACCCTCACAACAAATGACAGAGCGGCAGCCGCCTTGAATCAAAACTTTGTCAAATCGTGTTATTTCAGTGAAAAACTACAGACGTGAAAGTAATGAAGCTGCCAGAACAACAACAGTCTGGTTTTAAAGCTGTAAACAACCAGAGCAGTTCAATTTGCTTTACTGCGTAAATTCCACTAAACGGGATCATAAATGAGATAAAAGCCAGGTCTGTTAAAAGAGTTCTGAAAATATGAAAACGGATATTTTTTTACGAGTTGGGTCAACGGCATCTGAACAGAGTTGTTTTGTGTCCAACTTTTTGTCCTTTACCTTTAGAAGCAGATGGTGAGTCCAACCCTTACACACACTCTACTCCAACTGTACTTGGCCTGCGCAGATGTCAGCACGTTAAGCCAGAGGAGCTGCAGAGGCTGCGCTTTAACTGCCGACTACAGACGAAGGAAAAAAAAACCTCTTAACTACGTTAGTCTGAGAAGTCACTGCGAGTCTTGTAAGATCCTTGCGGTTTGCAGCCGTCAGAAGACCGGGCTCCGAGCAACAGCTGAAAAAGCTCTTCGCCTCTAACAGTAACTCACATCTGGTGAAGCCATCGCCCCCAAACCCCGGTGTGGACCACAAATGTCAAAGTCTTTTAGGCCATCACACATGACAGTTTCTAAAAATGCACCAGAGTTTGGACTAAAGGATCTCTGAGCGAGAATCCATGTTTGGATAAAAAAAAGGAGCGGAGAACATGCTCCGATAATCAAACCGAGGAATGTGTTTGACAGGAATCGACAACTGAATCCTGGGATGACGGGAAAAACAGGCAGAGTGTACGATCAAAGAGAGCGTTAAAACGCGAACTCCTCGGCGAGCCGGCGTGTGCCAGTCATGCTACTGAAAGATTTATGACGTGGCAATCACGTGTCAGTTTATTTACCGCACGCATCAAACCGCTTTGAAT